TAATAGGGCCGGAAGGAGGGATCTCTGTGACGTAGCGAACCCTCCTTCCCCTGTAATGGCTAGCCCTAAAGTTTCTGCCAAAACTGCCCCTCCCTGTTATGACCGTAATGTCCCGGCCCACTCTCGTGTCCATGGTCCCCCCCTCCCCCATAGATACCGCATTCTTCGGCAGGCCCTTCGAATCAGACATCCTAAGGCTGGGGTTAAGCCCGCCCCCCCTAGCACTTCTGCAGAGCACTCAGTGCAGGAGGTACCCGGCTGTGAACCCAGCCTTCTCAAACATACACAACCATACTATCAGACAATCCCCACAAACGCTTTAAAAACACAAATACAACAATATAATTAATAAAAGTGAGTACATTCATTCAACCACAATCATACCACAAACACTCACCATACGGATTTAAAACGCGCTATAGTGCAAAGTTGGATTTGTGCAAAAACGTCCTGGTAAGGCAGAGGAAGCTGATGACCCAATCTTCTCCAGCAGGGGGAGTAAGGTCCAAGAGTCTGAAGTAAATAATAAGTTTATAGCAGATGGGAGAGATAGAGAGCACACTCCCTGCCCAGATCTTCTCTGATCCCAGTCCTCTCTTTCTGCCAAGATGGGCATGCAGAGTAATAAATAGAAGCCCAAACGGGGATCCCAGCGGGGCCAGCGAAAGAACCAGAAGTCTCGGCTCACTCCCCTCTGATGTTCCGGCGGACAAAGGTGGGGGCAGGGGTGGCCAAAAGCCAGCAAGCCAAAAACGGCAACAGTTATGGGGACAATAGTCAGACAGCTAGACATGGTCCACAGTAGCCAGGATAGCAATGAGCAGAACAGTAACTCCCCCGGCAGGCAAAGTCCACGTTGGAGGGGGGGGGAGAAGGGGGAGGAAAAAAAGAGAGGGAGAGGAACCCCTCTCAACAACTGGGCCGCAACCTTCTCGGCGGTGCCAGCAATCCAGTAGACCATCGGGCTAGTAACCCCACCCCCACCCTAGCCTTAGCCCTAGCCCTAACCCTAAACCTAACCCTAACCCTAGTCCTAACACTAGCCCTAAGCCTAAACTCTCCACCCCTAAACCTAACCCTAATCCTAGCCCTGACCCTGACCCTAGCCTAACCCTAACCCTAACTAGCCCTAACTTTAACCCTAACCCTGACCCTAGTCCTAGACCCCCAACAGCACAGCAGCGGCTGGGTAGTCAGGCAACAAAGTAGGGGTCAGGGCCCCCCCAAAACGGACCCCTAGGCGGCTAAGGCCACCGCGATCAGTGGCGGTCACAGTGTATCCAGGATTCCTCCCACGCAAGTTCCTCCCAGGCGGTGTTCTTAGGCAGCCATCTTCGGTGTTAATGATGTTCAATAGTGCTCTATAGAGTACTTCAATGGTCTCTCACAGTCAGCTCCCGGCAACTCCTGGCGTCCTCCGAGCCTTCAGAACTCAGTTAGACCGCAGTGTTTCTCAGCGTCTCTCAGGCGGCCCTAACACACGAACCGCGCGGTTTCCAGCAGTGGCGGGAAACGCTGGCCACAATGTCCACAGCTGATCAGCGGCTCAGCAGCTCCGGCGTCGGCTACGGCATTTCCCGGCGAGTAGACAAACCGCCCAGCTCCTGGTGACCACCCAACTCCAGGCAGCTGCGGTGCTCTCACCCCCAGGGGCGCGATGGTCTCCGGCAGCCAGCGAACACAAAAGCCACTCCAGCAAAAATCTCCCGAACGTCTGGCTGCGGCGTCCCCGAACAGCGTTAGCGTCAGTGTCAGCGTCGGCGGCTTCCCTGAGCTTCCCTGGTCTTCAGTGCCCAGCAGCTCTGGAGAGGCAAGTCTCCCCAATGCGCTGCTGGCACGGGTGCTCTGGGGGTTTTTTCTTCCTCAGCCAGCGTAAAACCAGGCTCCTGGACAGATTTTTCCCTTCTTCCAGGCTATTTTCGCATAGACCGAGCCGGAGCGAAAGGCTCGGCAGCCATCTTCCTAGCACATGTGCCTCCTTCTTCTTGATTGCTCAAGAAGGAAAGAATAAGAATCAGGGACGTGCAGTCACTAGAGGCAAGGGAGGCGTGGCCTCACCAGTCATGAGGAAAAGGAAAG